GTATTTTCAGTTGTGGACTGTCCAAGGCATCTACAAACTGATCCCTCAGCAACAACTTGAGGACATCGGGTGCCACAGTTGGGTAGGCCTTGTGTGCCATACTTTCCAAATCCTGTGTCAGCTTTTGCAGGCTCTCTCCTTTAGCATGGACTCTCGTCCTAAACCTGGCCCTGTAGAGTTTGGACTGATTTTGAGTTCCATACCTGAGCTCTAGAGCATCTACCAGTGCTCTATAGTTGTGCCTGTCGTCTGCTGACAACTGTCCAAGTATTTCCAGTGGTTGTCCCTTCAAGCTCGTTGCCAGATATACTGTTTTAGCTCCTCTGTCCATCCATTCGTCTCTGCCAGGATCTCAAATTGTGCTCTATATGCTTCCCATGGTGCCTTCCCATCGAATTTCTGTGGCTTCCTTTGTACTAGATCACCCCTATTGCTGCCATTCATATCTGGGATGTGACTTCTAAAAAAATGAAGATGTCTGAATTAGGGCTTAGCTGCGGGGTCTGGAAGTGGCTTCCCGTTGTCTGAGGCTGATTAGATCGATGGCTACTGTTGCAGGTTTTCTTGCCACTGCTGTTGCCTCTCTTTTTGTTTCTTTTCTCGTTCTTCTTGTTTCTTTCCTTTTTCCTCCAACAACTGCTGTAATCTCTCTTCTTGTTTTTTTGTCGTTCTTCTTGTTTCTTTTCTTTTTCCTCCAACAACTGCTGTAATCTCTCTTCTTGTTTCTTTTGTCGTTCTTCTTGTTTCTTTTCTGGTTCTTCTTGTTTCTTTTCTTTTTCCTCCAGCAACTGCTGTAATCTCTCTTCTTGTTTATTTTGCTGTTCTTGTATTGCTGCCATCAAATCTGCTAAGCTGTAGTTTGATTTGCCACCTCTCGTTTCCATCTTCTTCTTTCTTTTAATTTTTTTTTCTATCCCGCTTCTGACACTAATTTGTTACGTCTCTGTGTTCGTTTGTTAATTTTCCGTAGAATTCTTTCCGAGATACTTCAGCGATGCAAGTCCTTTCTTAAATAAAAGTAGTTTATTCTTTCTCAGTTCAACTTTGCAATACACTTAATTTCCACAAGCACTTTAGCTTAAACACACGCCAGAATTCACAACGATTCACGCACTTTACTTAAGGCCACTACCGCGCTTGACTCAATTGTCCGTCTCTATCTGTCTGCAATTCTATTCCGATTAATTAATTTCGCTTTATCTGGCGCACTTATATACAATAATAGAGGGCGCGTAGAAAATACCAGAGTTGCCACGAACAGACATGATCCTTCTAGAATATCATGACGTGTTACTAGGGTCACGTGACTTCTACTGTCGTAACATCTGTTTTTGAATAAATTTTTTGTGTGGCCAGGGCCACATTAAAGTTTAATGTGGTTCTAGGACCAGGTAATATTTAGAAATAATAATCGTAATTTACTCTTGCCTCTATTCTGCTAGTTTTAACGAACTATCCAATTTCTTTTTCTTTTTTATTTAGGTGGCCGGCGGGGTCCCTTTATGGCCGGGGTTCTGTACTGTGTGTGGCACATTGGGAAATGATCTCTGAAAATCCAGATACACCAAATCCACACCTTTTCACATATGTACATCAGCAGTAATTTCTTGAAAGGTTTGCAAAAGATTAGTAAAACAAGATTTTCTCCTTGTGAAACCATAATGCCATCCAACGAAATTTTAACCTTTGTTAAATGGCTTTGCAAAACAACTTTAATCAGATTTTCAAAACTTTTCCGACTACTGATGTAAAACTGATAAATAATTATCGGAATCTTTTTCGTTTTCTGTGAAAAGAAGAGTAACATTAGCCAACTTCTAATCCTCTGACACTTGCCCACTATTCAAGAACTTATAAAAAAATATTAGAGCAAGTACTGTTGACCTTTCTTAGCACAAAGCTACACAGTGTGTTGTCTGCGCTTATTCTACGCGTGGAATCGAACCCCAGATTTTAACATAAGTAAACTTACCAACAGTAAGGGGCACACAGTAACTGTTATAGTGTGAACAAGACTAAGTAGTTAAATTATAATTTTTATACATTTTATTTTAGTCATTTAGAAATATAAAGTAGGGTAAGGATTAATAATGTAATATTGTTTATATATTTATTGTTAGCCCAATTATTTATTATTATAAATTTTGTTCTTGAATTAACTTTACTATATTTCAGAAGAACTGGCGACATCTCTAGTATAGTTTTTGACAGTCTTTTCCACAGATTTACACAACTGTGGATAACGAGAGTAGTTTCATGACGTTTTTCAGGAGTTACAATTTCCTCTTTTCTGAGCGGTTTATAACAATTTAATAAACATAAGTAATTGTATTACAGTATAACTATTAGTATTATTATTAGAATTCACTGTTGAACATTAAAATAAAACTAAAGCTCGTGATAACTAATTATAGACGGAAATTTTTCTGAGCAATAGAGAGGTAGGCTTACTCTTATCGTATGAATATTTTTTTAAACTAACAATGTATATGTTTATTTAATCAGTAGTTCAGTTTAATTTTACTTTGGTGTGTTTAACATTTAAGCTTTACATTTTCGTTTTCTAGCTTAACATTGAAAAGTGAATTTTCAATTGTCGGTTTGTGTCGTGGATTGCAACGTGCAAGTACTTTTATTATATAGTTTTAAAAATTATACTTAAGTTAGTTTGTTATAAATAAGTTGTACAAAAGTAGCCTAGTTTATACTTATATGGAAATTTTGAAAATTTATTTGATTAGAAATTTAGAAGATTTGTGATTTACTTTTTAAGTGTGTGTATACTCAATTACTGTACTATAGTCTGTAGCCTTTCTTACCTTATTATAATTTATACTTCATTTGATAAGTTTAGCATAATTTTAGTCTTACTGTCTTAACATAAGGATGTCAAAGGACCATTTAGACCTACAACTTTCAAGGCTGTCCCTGCATGCCAACCCCCCTAAAAAACAAACAAAGAAATTTACAATTTTAAACTCATTAAACTCTTGTAAGATGCCAACTTTCATTACTGGTAGAGGCAAATCCAACCTCACATCTGGGTTGTGAATCTCATGCATTTTGATTTGTCTCACAGTCATGCTTACCTCATAAAATCTTGTGTAAAATATGTGATGTCATGTATGCTCATAGACAATGATGTCAATTCAATTGTACTAGAAATTAATGGCTCATGCTTACAGTCTTATTAATCACCATAGCAAGAGAAATTCTATAGACTGGAGTGGATGACATCTTATATCCAGTTTACTAATAAAGAAGGAAAGACTAACTTGCTTTGTTATACCATAGCATTTTGCATTAGTAATAGTTTAGCATCAGAAATGGGAGGACCTGAGTTCTTCGAATAAAATAACTGCAGGTAAGGAAATAGACTGTGTTGCCTGGAGAAAATTCAAGGAAAAAATAAGTTGAATCTGTGATAGACACCATATTTCTACAGGAATACTGAATACAAACCAAAGAAGACTATTGTTTCTTTGTACAGATATCTGGTGTTAGGCCTCATTTAAAGTATTATGTTCAGTCCTGGGCTCCTTATTTTAAGAGGGATAGTGAGTTGTTGGAAAGAGTTCAAAAGAGCATTACTCTACTACTAGGATGATTCCTTGGATGGAGGGCTGTCATATGAGGACAGGTTACGGTCCTTAAAATGATTTTCTGTCAAGAAAAATTTTAGAAAGGATCTGATTGGAGTGTTCACAATTGTAAAGAGAATGGATAGTAGTGATATATTATCTTTTTTGTGTTTATTGGAAAGAGTGGTGAGACTAGTGGACATAGATTTGAGATTTGGCAATGTAGATGTTGTCTGGAACTTAACTTCTTAAGCAGTTTTATTTTTCAAACTGGGTGGTCAACCTTTGGAATAGATTGCATTAAGATATGATAGATGAATTGGGACTGGGAGAGTTCAAGAGAAAACTTAATGAATAGTTGATTGGTTAGAGCTAGATAATGGAATATAGGAATTTGATTAAATCAATAGGGTGGCCACAGTGTCCTGGCAGCCTAATCTGTTCCTGCCTCTACACTAAAACTATTAAATAAATAAATTTAAAAAAATCTTAAAGCCATCCCTTATCATTCATATAGTTATAAAGTTTTCTCTTAAACTCACTAAATTTACTGCCTCTACAACATCTGAAGGTAACCCATTCCAAAGGCTAACCACCCTGTTAGAAAAATAAAATTGTCTTAGTTGAAATTGACTCCTACCCTGCCAATATTTATATTTGTGTCCATTTGCCCTACTATTCTCACTGTTAAGTATGAAGAAATATGATGCATTAACACTATCAATTCCCTTTACAATTTTTTCATCTATGTCATTGATGTAAATCAAAAAGAGCATAGATCTTAAGACTGAGCCCTCAGGTACCCCACTTGTAACATTAATCCAGTTTGACTGAATTCCATTTATAACAACTTTCTGCTTTCTTTCATCCAACTACTCTTCTATCCAATTTGCTAACTTTCCACCACACCTACAGAGATAATTTTTTTCACAAGCCTTTCATGTGGCACTTTGTCAAATGCTTCCTGAAAATCCAGATACACCATATCCACACCCTTACTCTCATCTATATAAGCAGTAACCTTTGCAAAGAATGTCAAAAGTTGTGTAAGGCAAGCTTTTCCCTTAGTTAAATCATGTTGACTATTCAATAAGATTCTAAACTTTGTTAAATGGCTTTGCAAAGCATCTTTTATCAGACTTTCCAAAACTTTTTCCACAACTAATATTGCATTTTATTAAATGATTTTGTAAAGCTTTGTTTGTCAGACTCAAGATTTTTTTCCACCACAGAAGTAAAACTGACTTATAATATACAGGACAGTTCTTATTCCCCCTTTTAAAAATACGAATACCATAACTCTCCAAGCCTCTGGCACCCGCCCAGTTTCTTTTGGCCTTCCAAAAATAAAAACAAGGGGTTCACATATATATGTTCTATGACCTCATTTGATAAGGCAATGGGGAAAACTTGCATGGCTTTGATGCTTTATTTTTAATGTTTCAATCTTTCTATTTGTCACCAAAGAATTAACATCTACATGATTCAGGTCAATTCCAGTATTTCCTATTGAATGCATAGGGTCAGGAAAATTGCTAATTTCTTCTCTTTAAAAAATGGAAGATAAGAAAACATTTAAAAACTCAGCCATCTCAATAAATATCAAAAACTGTGCCATCAGCATTGTTGAACGGCCCAAATCCCATCTTAATATTTTGTTTACCTTTAACTTACTTAAAAAAAATCTTTACTGTTAGTTTTAACATTATCAACCAGCTATTTCTTATGAGTCATTTTGGATTTCCTAGTTTATTTTAACCAAATCCAAAGCTTTACGAAAATCCTACACATGTAGTTCTATATAAGACTATGAGGAACTTGGTGTAAAAGGATAAAAACGTGATGATAATAAATAATTATAGTAAAAAATAATTTATAACTAAATATATATAAGAATAGCAGTAATTGCTGATGACTAGTTTCTTTCCTGTGGTTGATGTTCATTTTTTTAACATGGTAGTTGATCTTTGGAATGGGCTTCCTTCAGATGTGGTGGAAGCAGTAAATTTAAGGAAGGTTTGATAAATTTTTGAATTATAAGGTTGTTCTTAAATGTTTTCATTTGAAGGTGTTACTTGTTACCTGGATTAGAAATGGATGTGGACTTACTCTTAGTTTGTAAAAAATATTTTTATAAGGTGCCACACAAGATATTTGAGGGTAGGGAAAGACTACATATAGTTAATTGTATAGTAGAAGGTTCGATGAGAGAAAGAAAAAAGGTTACCATGAGTGGAGTCCAATCTAAATTGACCATTGTTACTAATGGAGTGCTACGGAGGTCAGTACTTGAGCCTCTGATTTTTCTTATTTACATTAATGATATTGACAGACACATAATTAGTAAAATTTGTTAATGCCATTAAACTCTTGGGCATTTCCAGCTGTATTGAGAAAGTTGAGGTACTGAATAAATTGGATCATTTGGTAAGTTGGACAAGTACTTAGCAAATTACCTTTGATTATAGTAAGTGCAAGGTAATGCATTTTGATCACGAGTTTTATGTAGTTGGGAACCCACTTAATAGCATGACTGAAGAAAAGGATCATAAAATAGTGGTGGATAAGTTGCTCAACCCACCAAAGCAGTACTCTGTTGCTAGTAGTAAAGCCAAAACAATTTTATTGTGTATTTATAGATAAATTGATTACAAGTCAAAAGAGGTAATTAACTATTCTACAAGTCACTAGTTGAGTTTCACTTTGAATTCTGTGTGTTGTTTTGATCTCCTTATGATGTTATCCAAGAAATGGTATTAACTTATTTAAGAGGGTATAGAGGAGGACTACAAGATTGATTTTGAGGATGGAATGGTTATGTAAGAAGGATAGGTTCAAATCTCATAACTTTTCACTTAAGAAAAGAAGGGTAAGACGAGATATTATTGGACTTACAATATGATATGGGGGATCAAAAGGGTGAAGGATTGTGATTTCTTTTTGCTGTATTCTGAATACAGTAGGATGAGAGGACACAAGCTTAAGATTTGGAAAGGACAGGCTAGGCTTCACTTTAGAGAATTGTTTTTCTAACAGCGCAATTGAATTATAGAATGAGTTGCTGTTGGCAGTAGTGGAGGCCAGAACTTTATAGGAACTTAACCATTTCCAGGTGGGTTGGGTAAAAGGCCATATCATCGCGTTTGTTGACTTGCATTAAAAATTTTATTGAACCACTATTTCATAAATTTATGCCCATAAGTTTGGTATAACACTGTAGATTATAATTCCAATTTTAGTATTATACCTTACTCAATTTCTTAATTTAAAAGTATATATTAAAAAAGCACAGTTAAACATCAATTTTTGTGTGTCACATGGTATGCTGAATGCACCACTGGTTCAAATTAGATGTTTGTGATGTCAAAATACTAAGTCTATAGTTTCGTATGAATTAGGAACTCAAATTACTGATATTGACAAGCTAGAATATAAAATAAGAACCTCTTATATTTTA